TGGATTTACATGCTTGCTTTAGAGTAAGACGGCTCAAAATATATAATCCACAATGAAATTCAATGTCAATCATAATAAAGTCAGAGAAATTTTTTCATAATAAAATAAATTCAAGTAATAAAATGAATATCAATGTTGATTGATTGTAATAAATGAGTATTATTGCTTATTCTTATCCAATAAATTTTGTGTAATTTTTGTGTAATACAATGTAAAGTATAACAAAAATTCAATTAACTCTGCACTTTCAATATAACTCTGTACTTCTACTATAACTTTGCAATATATAACTTTACTCAAAAGAAGCTTACAAAATCATATTCTTATATAACAGACTAATATAATAGATGATGCCTTCACCATGAAATGGCGTGATCCCAAAAACAACGTATCAGCACCTGCCTTCTCTTACAAATCTAGCAAAGCTTTTGTGCTCAAAAACAAATCTTCAAAAATAGCATCCATCACCAAATGCTCCATCTTTCATCTCTCTGCCAAATCAAAGATTTATTTATTCACACTCTAGATTTCTTGCATCACCAATTCAAATTGGTACTCAAGAACATCGTGAATTCCACACAAGAGGTGGATTGAGGAAAAATTCTCAGCAAATATCACAACGTCAAATCCACGCTCATCAAATATTAACTCTTCGAGTCCAACCGCAACCATTTTTCATTCTCAACAATACTAGCTTCAAAATCATCAAGCATTCATGGTAAGGAATTATGATGGATCTTTCTTCAGTTTAGTTCTGAACCATCCAGCAACACATTGTGATCATTCCTCTCAATGCTTTGCAACATGACCACACACAATGATGTCTAACCAACCAGCCAACTAAATACAATAGTTCAATATTATTGTATAGAGCTCTCTATCTACCTACAATACATAGCGACTACCACTTGCTCTCCCAATCAGTCATTACTTAAGAAGAAGAATATAAAAGAATAGAGAAGAATGCTCTAAGTCTGGAAGGTGGAACACAAAACATATCAACACAATATGTTAACATCCAAAAACAGCAAGTTAACATTTCAAAATGTAAAAGTCATCAATATCTTAGTTTTGTCAAGGACCTATGAACTCCAGATAATGTGAAGTCTTTTGTTGAAAACAAAGAGGGAGCATGCAGTGAAGGAGAGCCAACTTATCAATAGGTCCACTCAATAGTTAAATTCATGAAACTGAAATCAAACTCATCCAAATGTCTCTTATCTTGCATATCTTTTAGTGATTTAATGGTATAAATTCATTATATTTCTATACAAAATTCCTTGCAATCATTAATTTCTTTATTATACTCTGATTGAGTTACATAAGAAAATGTTCTTTCAAAATACAAATTGAATTACTATTTTTGTGCAAAATGATAATTGAACGATAAAATTAAAAATTCAATATATAAATTCAGAATATTTAGTCAAACAAATCAAGACTTATGCCATTATTATAGAATTCAAAATTTACTTTTATCTTGTGAATTCTTTGTTTGAATTCCACAATTTTTTTGGAACATGCATTTAACATAGATTTATAGTAAACTTGTAGATTTTCACAAATTTCACTATTCTTAAGCTACCACATGTGCAAGGTAGAAAAGACGAATGCTAAAGGTCTTTATAAATTTTCAACTTACTTAATCCATAAAGATATCTATCTTCAATAAATAAATATAAAAATATAAAAAATATAAAAAAATAGATATTCAATAACGGATTTCAAAAATAAATATCTTATATCAAAAAATAGATTCTATGATAATAAAATAAAAATTCTTAATTTTGTAAAAGTAAATATTATAAATTTTGTGGCTGCCCATTAGGTGCCTCTTAATGCAACCCTTCTCTGAGGTTGTCTATATCCTTATGACCATCACTTGGTTTGCTGTTGAACCACTCACTAGCAATAGCCTCAATCTCACCTTCTACTATTTGCCTATTATTCAAATCACCTAAAAAAAATCAAATGGCATCTTAAAATACCAAAAAAAATAAATGTTAATTCTCAAAGTCATGTGTTCTATTCATGGAGATTTTTTGAACAAAAAAAATCTGTGGTTGAAGAGACTTTTAACATTAGTAAATTTATTGAAGGTGGTCTTTTCTTGACTAAAATAAAATATTGTCCTTTATCGCTTTTTTTTCTATTGCAAGCTCAAGTAGGGTCTTTCTAATATTGACTAGATACATACCTTTGAATGTTTGTCATTGTTAAGCCACTATGACTAAGTACATGAATGGAACCTAAACCAGATCATATAATTCAGCTCTTATCATTTCACGACGTTGTGGACAAAGTATTTAGTGCCACTTTGAACTCCACCTCTAGCGCTTCTGCACTATCTATAACTCAGAGATATGAAGGCAATTGTTACATATTCATGAGTTAGGGCAATTTCTCAATAGTTATTGCAACAACATGGATTAGAAGAAAACACTTATTGGGCAAAGACCATGACAACGTCTTCCTTATTGAGACCAAAAGAGAATCCACCCATGTAAATATACACAAAATCCCTCAATGCATATCTTTTATGTTGCTCCAATGCCTTGAAAATTTTGCATGCCTTCAAAATTATACAGTTGTGTGGTATCTTTGTGACATTTGCATTAGGTTTGTGCTTACTGAAATGATTAGTTCCTGATCAATTGTAAAACATTGTGTGGAACACCCTGTGGAATGACCTGATGAACTATAAAATGGACTATAAACTCCACAAAATGTGAACTTTTTTGATGAAAACAAAGACCAATCCATGCAGTGAATGAGAGCCACGACTTGTTTCTTTGAGCATTCTTAATATATCCTTGAATATTCTTAATATATAGATGGAATTTATCTTGCAATATTAAAGATGAAGACTAACATCAATAAATTTTGTGATATTTTAAAATTTTTTGATGTATTTTATTCAAATAAAAATACAACTTTTGAAAAAAAAATTATACTTCTTTACAAAAATATTATATTTAAAATTTTAATTTATTTTTTATATAATAAAAGTAACACTTGATTACAAAAATGCCAAAATTATAAATTTTACTTTTATATGCACACACACACATACACACACACACACATATATATATATATATATATATATATATATATTTAAAATAAAATTCTGACCACAAAAAATCACTAATTGGTTGAGGTTGTTAGCACAGTTAAAAATCAGTTATATCACACCTCCAAAAATATGAACCACATGATGGATAGAGTTCTCTACGAGGGGCTCCGTTGATGTCATTGAGCCCCATTCACACCACAACCTCTAGATGGACAGAGTTCTCTGAAGGGCTCTGTTGGTATTATCCAGCCCCCTTCATGACGAGAGATATTTTGTCAACATTTTCATACTTGAGGAGTACTAAAATGTAACCTCATGAATTATGTTACAAATTTTTTTAAATTAATATTTTAAAGTTTTTTAAATATTTGTGTGTGTATATAAACATATATTATTAACTAAATAAAAATAAAAATTGTAGAACTCAAAAACAATGGAATACATAATTGTTTCATTTAGCTTGCTAAATGGGCTTCTTCTATGATGTATGTATGCATGTATGTATGCATGCAGACACTACAATTTTAAAAAGAAAAAAGAAAAACTTTAGTAGCTAATTTTTTTTTTCTTAATAAACATCTTTTAATGTAAAGACATGTCTAGCAATTTTATATTTTATATATTTTTTTTTCAAAGAAGTTTGATATGAACACACCTTAAGCCAATAAAAATACATGTTCAAGTGCTTTGTGGAGCTCTTTCAAAGATATGATATCTTTTACTCTTGGTAAACACCTTATCTGTGTATCAAATAATATATATATATATATATATATATATATTTTTTTTTCTTTCCTTTTTTCTTTTTTGTGAAGATTTATGGATATAAATATACTTATTATTACTATAATGAGTTCAAAATGTTTAGTGGTAGATACGTCTTTTTTTGTAATTTCGTATAATACAGTCATTAAGGATATTGAATTTCCAAAAGTTATGTGTGCGTATCTATATATTCACACAATAGTTTGTGAGTTTTTTTTTTTTTGCTTAGTTGTATTTAACTCTAATTTAGATTTATGTAATTAAATTTTTTATTTTAATGATGTTGTTGAACCAAATATAATTTACGTTTATATTTTTGCTATTACACATAACAGTAAGCATACACGTAAACTGGGTATTAGTTTGAGTTGTACACGAAACAAAATTAGTTGGAATATCTTATTCATTCAGTTATATACACTAAATTTGTTTTGCACAATTGGGGTGTGATAAGTTCAAACTTTATATATATATATATATATATATATATACATATGTGTGAAAATATATGACCCAAAAAATATCACAATCATTTACTGATCATCAAATTTTAATCATTTCTGGTTGGAACTTGTTTTGCTTTGGTTTAGTTATTTTTCATTTTTTTCTTTTCAAGAGATATATATACATACATATCAGTAGATAAGTAAATGCTTCATGAAATCCAGGTATGCTTTGTAGCTACAACATGTATTCAAAATTAAATAGCTGTTCTATAGAAGAATGGGTGTCTAAGTGTGGTTCTATTGTGAATAATTATTCAAGTTACCCATTGCCGAGTATTTTTAAGCAAGATTTTATTTCATTTTTGCTCTGGAACACTGCTGGCATACACGGTCTCTACCTCCTTATTTGATTGTGTTTCATATTCATTACTCTCTTATTAGCAAATTTTAGGAGAAAGTATCAATGACTTGGACATGGCTTTACATTTATGAGATGAATACATAGATGATATGGCTAAGCTTGCTCTCCACAAGTATTAATTCAATGTTAATCCAAATTCCTATGTCTTGCAGTGTACAGAGCGATTGAATCGTCGTCCACAACATTCATCATCCTACCATTTGGCAAGGAAATTCTTTATCTATTCCTGTACAATGCGTTCAGAAAGTTCATACAACCAGAGAAGTTACAAGATTTTTTTGAAACACAGCAGGACAGGCATTTTCGAAGGCTCACAATGTGAAAATCCTTCTTGTTATCAATGCAATCGAGTTATATTACAGCATTACAGTGCCATCAAGTGAAATGCGTATACCTGCGTCTAGGAAGTGATGATAACGATCAATGCCACATGAAAACACTCCTCGAAGTGTCTCAAAAAGAAATAAAATGCTGCTTTATACTTTTATCCAGGCCGAGCATAGAATCGCAAAACGAACAGGAACGCATTCATTGCTCAGAAGTTGGTTTCACTCAGTCCATACGGCCCTTCAAGGTCTTGGTGATAACTTGGTTTGGTGTGCTGCAAGAGTATCATCACCAATTTCATACTGTTACCTTGAAGCACAAAGATGGTGGACTAAATTGCAGTAATTATGAGCAAGCATACGCGAAGAGAGGGTTACGTAAGGATCGTGTGCTTACACAACATGGACAATCCCTCCCCATCCACTGATGCAGTCTCGGTCTACTGACGCCAGTAGAGCTTGTGATATTACCTCGAACAGCTCATCCGGGCCCTGAAAAAAGAAAGGGAGCATACAACTTGTAAGCACCAGTTCAGCACAGAAACGTGCTCACCAAGATACTAAGAACTCCAAAGGTAATGCAAAATAAATAATCAGCGCGATTCAGTATGAATTGGATTAGCATACCAAATCAGGTTTGTACATAGATTCGCAGGCACCATATAAAGACTCTGAAGCAGTTCCAGAGACCACAAAATCCTTTGCCAATTGCCTTCAGAACAATTACATAATAATTCAGTAAACACCACTGAAGACACAGAACGACCATACAATAGCGTCCGCGATAAAGAGGCCATCTCACTGTCTCAACTTAATTATGACCCACTCCCCTCAAGTTTCAATCATTGAATAGCTTCAAATGTTGCCATCGCAATATATACTTGTTCGATGTTTCCAACAACTGCACCTTCATGTCGGCCCTACTCTTTCACAACAAATCGGTACATGTACGATATGAAGCATACCCAAATAGACAAATTAACAGGTGTTAAAGGAAAAAAAGAGTTGAGTGCGTTACTTGGCACCGATTAAATCAGTGGTGCAGATAAAAGGAGTTCCGTCATCGTTAAGACCGGCTATGATGGGCTCACAAAAATAAGGTCCAAACCTGCATGGATTATACCGGTAGCCCGTAATTAAGATGAAAATAAATTAGAAGCTACCCAATGCAAGTGACAACTAACAGCAGTTCCTTCTCGTTTATTTTAACCAGGGTTCGTCTTCGTTACCTTTTCTCATAAAGCATAGCTGAAACGAGGCTAGCAAAAGTTTCGGGGCGCATGTTCCGCTCTTCCCGCAACTGGTACAGTTTATGACGAAAATTCAAGCGTTGATGCCTGTGTACACCCAAGAGCCGAACGTCGGATGAAATGGACATCATTGTCTTTACACTCCATACAGACATCTTATTCAACAAATAAATAAATAATCTCAAAAAGAAATAACTGGGTGAATTCTTACATTGTCTGCACATCCGTTGCAAGACCTGAGAGGCCAATGTAGAGATGGTCATGAATCTTGAAGATGCGCTGAAAATCACACGCAATCGTCTGGAAATTTACACCCAGACGACGATCACTGGCGATGGCGAAGCAATCCTTGCCCACCATGGCAATCAGTGCACTTCCATTGTAGCTGGTGATCTGCAATACCCCCAATTAACAAAACCCAAAACTTCAAATCCTAAACAAAACCTTTCATAATGAAAACAACAAGAATACAAAGCAGCATAAGTCATAATTGACGGCGAAAAGCACGATCGAAGCTTAGAAGACTGCAGGGCACTACATACCGACATGCGGGCAGTAGACTTGGTCCGCCACCGACTTCAACAAGGAACAAGCTCCTTCAACTCCAAAATCTAAAGCCTACTCAAAACCCTAATCTGAAAATTTCAACAAGACCCACCATAACAACGAGGTTAGCGCTTGACCAGAGCAGTTCCAGAGTCTACAACAGCAGAGTCCGAAAACCTCAATGAAATCGGCATAGAAATGAAGACAATCAACGTAAACTTCCAGAGATGGTAGAATCCTGCACGCGAAACGCGAACCCTAGCTGATGCATCGACACATAATCTGCGAGAACTCATTGCGAAAATACGATCCAAATCCTGGTTACGAAATGAGCCTGATCCAGCTGCTGGAGCCGATCCGCTTACCCCAATTTCCGCGACTCGCAGACGAGCTCTGATGGGGCATTTCCATGCAGAGTTTTGTCTTCGGAAGAAGCGGAGCCTCCAAGGTACCAGACACCCGACGTCGAAGGCCCGAATGCCTGGTCTCATTCATCCATTTTGGACGAAGTAGGTCCGTATGACGAATGATTGGATGGATGTCGTTATCTGTGCGCGGTCCTAAGGTTTTCTTATTTGGTTTTGGGTCCCTGGGAGAAAAAAATAAAAATAAAAATAAAACACTCCTAACTATGTGTCTATTTCACCCATGAAATAATACCATCATTTTAATTTTGGATTATTGCAGCATTGTAGGAAAATAACAAGACAAAACAAATAACATGCGGAGGCAGGACAGGTGCAACAACCTCAATAAACAATGAAGGTCCCAAACAAAAATTGAAATTCAGGCAAATATACCCCGAAAATTTTCTTATATGTGTAAATTTCATTGAAATCAAATTTTCTAATTATAAAAATAAATATCCAAAATATCTGAATGCTGTAAAAATTCAAAAGCAGATATTTAGTGACGGAAAATTAACATACAAATTTGACTTGAAAAGCATAAAGGTTGTATTACTTATTTGTTAATTTATGAGTAAACAAGGGAATATTAAAATTAATTTACATACAATACATGTGTTAAAAATAAATGAAAATATATAGTATCTATAAACCAGCGACACTTGAGTTAATCCTAATTCTACCATAGACTTAATAAAAATAAGTAATAAAAATAAATCCACGGATATATACATATAAATATATATATATATATATATATTTGTAAATACTTTTTTTGACTTACACATTAAAAAAATGTATTAACATTGCATTGTGCAATATCAAAATAATCATTTACCAAGGAGATGATTTTTTAAAAAAAAGATGTTTCACGATATACGATATTCCTTGCATTTTGTTCGTCTAAATCGTATTACTATACACAAATACACTATAAATACGGCCCAAGTGTATCGTGTTTTAAGAGTGACTCGAAGACAATAATAATTATATTACCATCCCTCAAACGGAACCGTCGAAAAGACTCCCCCACAACGTCTCGCCACCGTGGGGGAACGTGTCCTTATTACCGTCAACATGTAACCCCTTCACCGTGAATCCTCTGTCGTCAAAAAATCATCATCCGATAAACCATCCTTCTTGACTTATCATTCATCCATCCATGCGAAGACCTAAAGGTTGAAGCCAGAGCAGCACGAAGCCAAAGCCCTAGAAACTCAAAACCATCGCAACTTCGCACTCCTGGTGTGTTCCTCGAATTGTAAGACTTGTCCGCAGGAGCCCATCCATCGCCACAAGCCTGCTTTCTCGCAGATCTCATTTCCGAGGCCGAACCCCGACTCCTTTCCAACTGTTGGGACGGATCCTCCACTCTCTTTCAAGGTTCGCGCTTCTTATCCCGCTTCATTTAGCCCACCGAGGTGCTTTTTTCAATTGTTTCAGTGCCGGGAGTGATCCGTCGTTGCAGAGTTTCCTCCTCAATCGGTGAATAGTGTTGTACATTACGTTTTTGATGCGCAGCTTCTTCTGCTTTTCGTCTGGTTCTGTGTTTCCAGTTTCATGATCGGTTCGCATGCCAGTGTTGAGTGTTTTTCGTTGGGTTTTGATGGTTTCTTGAAGAACGTGTGGTTATTAGGGTTTTACGTGATGTGCGTGGATGGCAGAGTTCATGGCTTATTGTTTTTTGAATAATCATTAGTGGCTAGGTTAAAGCTCTGGAATGCTATATTTACAATCTTTTTTTGTTGTCTACTTATTTGTACAGTGGGACTAGGACTGCCGTCCTTTGATAACTTTTGTTTGGAGTGGTTTCTTTCTTAGTTTTGAATCTATTTTTTGCCGATCGTCGCTGGTTGTTATTATGCAGGCAAGAGAGTCTTGGAAGTTTCTAGAAGAGGTGCAACCAGAGGATATACTTTTCATCCTTGGAATAGGAGAGTGGCAGCGTGATTTAAAACATGGCGATCCGGGTGGTTAATCCGAATGCGGAAATGCTGAGTAAATCAGCTGCCCTGCACATGAACATAAGTGCAGCGAAGGGGCTGCAGGATGTTCTCAAAACGAATCTGGGTCCGAAGGGCACGATCAAGATGCTCGTGGGTGGGTCAGGAGACATCAAACTCACCAAGGACGGAAACACCTTGCTGAAGGAGATGCAAATCCAAAACCCTACGGCCATCATGATTGCTCGCACAGCGGTTGCGCAAGACGACATTAGTGGAGATGGAACGACGTCTACGGTGCTCGTCATTGGGGAGCTCATGAAGCAGGCAGAACGGTTTATTGCAGAAGGGATGCATCCCCGTGTGCTTGTGGATGGATTTGAAATTGCCAAGAAAGCTACTCTTGAGTTTCTGGAGACCTTCAAGACCCCGGTTGCGGTTGGAGACCAACTCGATAAGGAGCTCCTTAAAGTGGTTGCTCGGACGTCGCTCAGGACGAAGGTGCACGAGGAGCTCGCCGATAAGCTCACCGAGATTGTCGTCAATGCTGTGCTCTGTGTGCAGAAACCAGAAGAGGCCATTGATTTATTCATGGTGGAGATCATGCACATGAGGCACAAGTTTGATACTGACACTCGTCTAGTGGAAGGTCTTGTCCTGGATCACGGCGCCCGTCATCCGGACATGAAGAAGCGCGTGGAGAATTGCTATATTCTCACCTGCAACGTGTCCCTAGAGTATGAGAAGAGTGAAGTGAATGCTGGGTTCTTTTACCACAACGCCGAGCAGCGAGAGAAGATGGTGGCAGCAGAGCGTCGTTCCGTGGACCAAAAGGTGCAGAAGATCATCAATCTGAAGAAGAAGGTGTGTGATGGCACAGACAAGAACTTTGTCGTCATCAATCAGAAGGGAATCGATCCTGTGTCACTGGATTTATTGGCACGAGAGGGTATTGTGGCCCTGAGGAGGGCGAAGCGTAGGAACATGGAGCGGCTCGTACTGACATGTGGTGGAGAGGCTATAGAATCCGTGGAGGATTTGACTCCGGATGTCCTTGGTGAAGCTGGCGTTGTCTACGAGCATGTTCTCGGAGAGGAGAAGTACACCTTCGTGGAGAAGGTGAAGAATCCTCATTCCTGCACTATCCTTATAACAGGACCTAACGATTACACCATCGCACAGATCAAAGATGCCATCCGGGACGGTCTGAGATCTGTCAAGAATACCATTGAGGACCAGTCTGTGATTCTGGGAGCTGGAGCGTTCGAGGTTGCCGCTCGGCAGCATTTGATGAACAACGTTCGGAAGACGGTGCAAGGAAGAGCGCAGTTGGGAGTCCAGGCATTTGCCGACGCTCTTTTAGTTATTCCCAAGACTCTAGCTGACAACTCTGGGCTCGATACCCTGGATGTTTTGATTAATCTTGAGTCGGAACACGATGCTGGCAACGTAGTTGGTTTGGATCTGACCACGGGTGATCCAATCGACCCCAATGTGCAAGGAATTTTTGATAATTATTCCGTGAAGCGGCAAATTATCACGTCAGCTCCAGTGATTGCTGCCCAGCTACTACTTGTGGATGAAGTTATTCGGGCCGGTCGTAATATGCGGAAGCAATAGCTTACTAGCTAAATGTAATGGTTAGTCCTTGTCATGCAGCTATGTAAACCGTGGGTTGGCTTTCCCACAAGCGGTGCAAAAACCTGGGTGCGGATGATAGCTCGAGTATTTTACAGCGAAAATGGGGTGCTGCAGTCACTGTGTTCTGGATTGGAAACAGATTTTGACTTGCTTTGTTAGGGACCCTTGTCGATCAAATTTTTGAGTATACACTCTGTTAACATGTGTTCATTTCGAGAAATGATACTCTGTACCTAGGATTTGTCCCATCCTTGCTTTTTTTCCTTATGAATCAATATCTGACTGCATTGCAGTTTTTTTTTCCAAATTACCGAATCATCGTTCTGTAGGTGCGGACCTGTGACAATTTGTTACTCCGCCAACAGAGAAGATCGAATTGTACTCAATGAATTGCAATTAGTTTTCTCTGAGACTTTCCCATTGCTTAATGTGCGTCACTCACTTTCGATGACCAATTACTGGGTTCAAATAGGAGAGGAATGACACCCAGTGGCACATTTCAATCGTCTCTTCAATACGTGTGGGAGCGAAGCTATTAACAAAAGGAAACAGATCGTCGAAAGCTTTAGAAAGTTTGCTTCCTCTCAACTTTCCACAACTAAAGTCGAGAAATGTAAATGGAGTCGAACTCTTCACCGGATGTGAGTCCACACATCACAAACCCTCGAAACCGATCTCTGTTATGTCCACCGCCGAAGCTCGGTGGTCAGTTTAAGAAGCTGATTTGATCCAGAGTTCTCTGATCTGATTCATGTCTAGCTGAACATCTGTTACAAGCAGACACTGTTGTGTTGGTTTCCTGCATATTTTATTTGCCTGCAAATTTATAATTTATGACAACAATTTAATCAAGCATTGCTCTAGATATCAAGAAAAAGCAAAGGAAAAATGAAACCAATATTATCAAAAATACTTTGTATTCTCATAAGATACAAAAATAATATTGTACTTGTTTAATGTAGTAATATGCTTCTTAATTAATTATTTTTTTCAAAAACCACCTTCTTGAGATGGACTCAATGAAAATTCTAGGAGACAACATTATCTGTGTTATATAGGAAAAAATACATTTGACCTCGTTTTTTCCTCTTAAAACCCTTGGACTTCTTTTTAAAAGTGTAAAGGTAACTCAAGGATGGTTGTGTGAAACAGGTCTATGTCGCTTACATGACTGAAATAAACAATGGGGTCTAGGCCAAGGATACACACTAAAATCAGCAATTGCCCAGTCATTGGGACATTGAGTGGGGCTCGAATGCCAGCCAATGCCTAAGGTTAACATTCATCCATCCATTACTCCGCGCCATACACATTATTCATCCACATCTAATCGGACGACATTCATCCAGTACGACGGTTTACATCCACACATTTCATTCATCCAATAACTCACACACGGGGAAGAGAACTTAGAAAGCTCTACGAAGAGCTACGAGAGCCCCCCCTCTGCGCCCAGCTATCGCCATAGCCATCTCTGCCGACGCCCTTGAGCTTGGCCTAAATTTAGTGGAGGTGTGGCGAGGGAGTCTTAAGCGAGGGTACCTTCCTTTCTCGACCTTCTGGCCAACCTAGAAGTTCTTCTTCGCTTGTGCGAAGGCAGCAGGGATTTCAAGTGGGAGCAGCGAGGGTCGGGAGATTCTTTCTTCGAGGATTTTGTCCAAGATGGCAGACGCGGAGAGTTGGTGCCGCTGCAATGGCTAGAACAATGGCGACGATGAAGATTACAACCATAAGCAGGCAGTCCTCGTTATCTTTCCCGTTGTGGTATTCTATACCTGTAAGGCACTTCCCTTACTTCTCTTTCGAAGCTTGAATTTTGTAATTTCTCTAGGCGCTCTTTCTCTTACTCTCCGAGCTTTTGTGCGCTTTTTGGTAGTGATGTTTGTGTCTGTGACATAAGAAAAGCCGACTTTGGAAGCTGGAGATGACACAGTACTTCCCCTGGCCTGCATGTTGCGATCAGGACGAGACAAACATAGTTTTCCAGACGGGATAGGAAGAAATTGGGAGCGTTCTCCATATATGTCTGCTGACAGTGTCTTTTTGTTGGTTTGTGACGAGCTTCCGAGGCGTAGTGGTGAGGCTTTTCATCTGATATTGTTGCAAACTTGCTGTGGCATGTCTATACAAGATCTCACCTTTGTGAAGCGAAAGCAGCAGCAGCCTGATTGCGCGAACTCGAGTTTTTGCTCACTGATGTACTCAGTCATGTACGTCCGTCGTCCAGGATTCAGGGACCGAAATTTTTGCGTTTCTTATCTCGTAGAAATAGGCAGAGGAATCAGAAACAGTCAAAGAGATTGATCACGAGCTTTGACAATCAAGCTCGGCTATCACCTGTCCTATTTGTTCCTAATTGGAGACAATATCTGCGAGGTGAGTGGAGTCTGCAAAGACTATTGTAGTTTGACCAGAAGTTGGGGTCACTTGTGACTTTCTCGCGAGGATCGAGTTATTCAGAGTACTGATCCTTCGAATACAAGTTTAGGTGGTATACTACCTTAAACATAATAGCGCTGGAGCTGTAGCTCCAGCATTTCAATCTCACACACTACAAATATGTTACCGGGAGTCGAAGTGGCGCGGAGGCGTCGGATGCGAGCTCCTGCACAGCGTCGAGAACTAGATTCTCCCAGCACCTATCAGTTTTCTTCTTCAAACTTTCCAATTGAAGGGCGTCGCTCAAGAGGGAATAATAGTTCTGGTTCTTCCAATTTGGCTCACCACCACCACCTGCACCACCACCATCATCACCACCACTATCATCACCATGTATCGCGCTCAGCTTCCCGAAACCCGGCTGCTTTGTCCACTCAAGTTCGTCGATTGGTAATTTTACCTATCCATGATATAACTTCATTCCCAGATGTCTTTATCTACAACTCCACGTTTAACTTGCCTGGTTTGTAGAGCCTCAACGGCGCTTCCCAGAAGGAAGGTTGGCATAGCATGCTGAGTTACAGAGATCATTTGTATATTTAAACATGTACAGGAGTACCACTGGTTTGTGGTATCAGCCTATCCATGTCTTGCGGTTTTTCTAAGTCTTCTTCACGATGTCGCATGGGCTCTTTTATCCGGTTTGTACAGCAAGATCTTCTGCAGGAGCATCGTGCAGCTGCCTCTCAGCAACAAAATAGCAACTTGAGCTTCTCATCTTCATCCAGCTCTCGGGAAGGACATTCAGGAACGGGATTTCGGAGTTCTCGAGGTTCCCGAGTAGAGGAACCCAGGCTATCGACACTGGCAATGATGTTAAGAGGCCAAGCTCATGAACGAAGGTTGCAGGGGGCAGCCATGGAGGCTCGTGATCGATTAGATGAACGTTTACGCTCCGCAGCTCTGCCCTTGAGGTTTTCCGCCAATTCTCCCAGGTTTGTGATCCCCTTCGGTTTGTCTCTGAACCATGTCTCTGACCTTCCTCGTCGTTTCAGTCAGCTAACAGCAACCAGTTTGTGAGGTCACTTCAAAGTACTGATCTATTCAATTGCTCAAATCCTATTAAATCGTTCGCACAGAAGAAAGGCTACTACCTTCATACGAGACCGATTTTGTGCGCTCCTGACTTATTTCAGACAAGCATTAAGTTCGCTAATGACATCGAGCACCACACAGTACGAGACAAGCGTACTCTTCTCCGACTCAGATGACAACGAGAATTTTTGGAGCGACGACGAAGAGTGGGAGCACGCTATGCGGGAGTGGCTCACTGCATGGGTTCCCAGTCTCGAAGACCGGTGGCAGCCAGACCTCTTTGGCGGAAACCATCATCATCACCACCACCACCACCACCATCGCTCAGCAGGAGTAGACCCTCATCTCCCCCTCAAATCCCGAGAAGGCATGAGCAAAGATGCAATCGATGCCATCAAGCGGGAGACTTACGGTTCGAAGAAAGCATCCCACAGCGACCTTGACCAGGAAGATTGCTCGGTTTGCCTAGATAAATTCATTACAGGACAGAAGCTCCTAGCTCTTCCGTGTAACCATAAGTTTCACCCCAACTGCCTGACTCCCTGGTTGGAGGGCCATGAGCAGTGCCCGTATTGCCGAGCTCGAATCACCATGGGGACTTCAACACTCATCCAACCACAACAACAACAGCAACAACAGCAACAACAGCGTCTGAGTGCCGCCGTTGTCGAGACCGAAACCTCTTCCCATACGAGTTACTTCGTGTCGTGGATGTCGGTAGTAGAACAGGGGATGTCTCGCTTGAGCCACGGCACATCCTGATCCTCTAACGTCTAGTTTTGTACATGAGAGAAGTCATTCTAGATTCTGCATCACGTAACGTTCATCATGTATCTCCTACATGCATAGTTAGAGCGGAGAAACTGTGACATCACCTCGGGTGACGCACCCACACAAGATTGCTCAGTTATTGCTTGCACCCTCAGGGCCTCCAGAGCTTCGTTGCTGTCAGTCAGAAATATAGGCCATCAAAGTAGTGGTTAGTTTGGAGCTTTCCTTGGGAGCTGAGCCTAGCAACTGATTCAACGTGATGAAAAAACTGAGTCAACTTCCCACCGACCGTAGCACTGAGTGTGACAGGGTTGTCCTTCCATGAGACGAATGATGTGTTGTTGCATACGCCTTAGACAACCCATCTTTAACGTTTGTTTCAATCACTGCGAGTCTCAATATTGTGCATTGTCTTGACAACATTTCTTTTTCCATTAGATCAAATGATTGAGAATGCACAAAGATCATATTATACTCGGAACACGTTATATTTTCTACAGTTCGGAAAGTACTACATTATAATGTTCTATTACCACTGTTTTAGTTGTATTTATTGTGATTATACTACTACTGTATATGCTTAAACTGATCAAAAGTTTAGGGTCCCTCGTATCAGCGGAATGAGAGTAGGCACGCAAAACTTTCAATCTGAATTTTCGATGTCATCATCGTAATCAACATCACCTGAATTCAGTTCTTCAGTTGCCCTCTTGGTCGTGGAGCTTCATCCTCTTGTACAGCTCACGTTGCTGGAAGAGTCTGGCAGAAAGTCTGTGTTGAGGTTCTTGCCAACTTGTACTCTTGCGACGTAATTCATGCGCTTCTGAGAAATTGAAGAGCTGTTGCAAGAAGTTTAAAGTGGGGATGCTTCAACAAATAGATCACCTAAGGTACGCAAGTCCTTCAAATGTCAAAATGTTCAGCTCGGAGAGTTTGTACGAGTCTTCCCGCAACATAAACGTGTATAATAAATTATCCACAAATGTAAGTTAAACGCATTCCATTAAATAGAAAACATGATCGTGCTTGAAAATCCTCTGAACATTATACTAGCGTGAACTTGAAATATTCCCCAGTTGAGGAGGTCATTCATGGATTCAATCGTACTGTAAATGTAGGGATTTTTTTACATATTTATACTGTAACTGATAAATCAGACCATACGATGATCTCATATGGGTTGTGAGCAGATCCTTGTGCCATGTCAGTCCTGCATGCTCGAGCTAGAGAGCATTGAAAGCCTCGCCTGCTCTTGGGACCTGCAGCATTTAAATTGGAAGCACCAAGAATTTGACGACTTGTGTGAACTCATCTTCGTTGCAAGGAATAAGATAAATCGAAGTAGACATATGCTGAATCGTTTAAGCCAAATCGTATTGCTATAAGCACAAATCGGTTTAAGAAGGTGTAACGCTAAGATACAACACAGTGAGGCAGGGATGCTATTTTAGAAATTTTCTTAATGAACTACAAAAGATGCATGTAGTCATGATAAATTACTGATAATTAAGTGGCGTCGAGTCCACGCAAATCAATTCTCACCCTAATGCTTTGCTTCCATTAGTTCAGTTGGTGTTAGCAGTGCTTACGAAGTACGGATTCGTCAACATAGAGACCGATTTTTCAAAGCGTCGATCACGTATTGCATTTAAGTGCACTCATGCATTGGTGGTTCTGGTACCAATTAATTTCAGTGTCTCGGTTCATTTCATACCAAAAACGTGCATGACTCGAGGTTGCATGGAACTAATAAGTGATCCATAATCTTATGTGAAAACTCTGAGAGATCTAGCTCTGCTACTTCTGAAGAAAAAAACAATCGCAGGGGAGTGCAACAAAATGAAATAGTCAAGCACAAATTAGGAATGCAACAGGAAGCGGATGACAACACTGGATAACACCCTGAAGCTTGTTTGCGTCTGTGTCTGCCGAGGTAATGACCAATATATGTATACTGCTAGTGGGCGTCCAAAGCACCGTGCGCACAGATAGGAGACACACAAGCCAATAGTGTTGCGTCTTGCCACAGAATCTTCCGACTACGAAGCATGGCCTTCATTATCGAGCAATTTCTCTCAAGAACGTAATGAGGCTACCACTGTGAAATTTTAACAAACAGCTGGTTAAGGAAATCGAGAACTAATTAACTTGCTTCAAAATGATCAAATGTAGCAGAAGATATCACCTTGAAGAAAGCACTGCAAGAGGTATTCGGTGTGTGCACACGGAATACGTCGAAAATTGCGCTTCGAAAGTAACCGAAGGCAAGGCTGTCCATGCTGAATTGAGCGTGCGCAGCAAGAGCTGCAATCCATAAGTAAAATTGCAGATCCAAATATGCAACCTGTAATTGTACAAGTTGCAACAAAAACTCGTCCCCAATTTGAAATCTAGAATGAAAAAGTTCACTCGCACACTCATCTTTCGTCTGGACGACAAAAATTCTAATACACTGTGTATGAGCGTGTGTGCAAATCTATCGATTCTCGAAACTATCCCCCAACCACTGTTCTATCACTGGTCACAGCCACTCGTGAAAATTCAGCTTCTGCGGTCTCATTGCAGGTCACAAACCATCCAGTAATTCATGCTCCTACACCGCATCATCTTTGAATGAATCTGGAGCTAGAATTCATCGCAATCAGAACTAATGTCTTCAAAAGACTAATTAAATCAAAAATAGTCCCGCAAAATCGCAATTGATTCACCAACGAACAAGCTTCATCAAGACTCCTAAGACTTCAGCATCTACCCCCGTCATTCAGAATATAAATCTAAAAACAAGAGGTCGAATGAATTTCACAAATTCTCGACGACGTTACCGAGAATCGCAACACAACGTTGACGTGAACATCAAAACTCGTGAATCGTTAAAAACAATGAACGTCGAACTCTGTGGCTGGCCAGCCACTCAAAAATGTAAACATTGGGTACATGGTAAGTACCGTTACGTAGACATATCTGGAAATCTACCTGCTCGAGCTCCAGCTCGAATGAGCATCGTCTCTTCGGTGGCTTGAAGTTGCGAATCGTGTGCTCTTGTTGCAACTTTTTTTTATATCGACTGCGCAGTTTGTGCGACCGCTCTCTTCTCAATTTTTTCTAGCTACTCGATTGCCGCACTAAATAGACTTTGATAGCGCTGCACAGTCGATCCAGGTTAGTGCCTCGTGCAGTGAAGTGTTTGCTTTATTCAGCGAATTAGAGGAATATCGTCGAATCAGCCGCAGGGTTAGGTTCTGATTCGGAGGAGTGTTTGGACAACAAATTCTGTAGCTGATGGTATGGTCCTCCGCAGCTTATGCTCTTTTCGGTTAGTTCTACAGCCTAGAATGGATTGAATGGTTGTAGCTTACTTTTCGTATATTTCGGCTGGCAGCTTTATTCAGATATTTGTTGGTGAATTCGCCCTTTGGAGCTCGTGCCCCCATCCTTCGTGGAGGTTTTTTTGGCAGAGAAGTATTCATTCGCGGGTTCGTGTGCTTGAATCCCAGAGCATGTAGTGTTGAGTGTGTGAGTAGAGAATTAGGGTTTGGTGGATTGGTTGGGAGACGGGGGAGGAGCTAGGGACTATGGAAGGGGACCAGTTCAAGGGTAGCGCGGACGGAATCAATGCGGGTGAGGCAGGGAGAGGCATTTGCAATGAAGTCGTGGCTGATTTTCTCAATACAAATGTGGAGGAGGATTCTTCAGAGGCCTACCTCGATAACAAAATGCAATTGTAAGTTTCTTTTTTCTTACTGGCTGGCGCTTAGTTTTGCATGATTTTAGTTATCTATGAATCTGAGACGCGGCCGTTGGCGACGAATCGCAGGCGGGACTTGTTGGACATTTCACAAGTGCTGAGTGAAGCGGGGAGTGCGATCATCGATGTACGCAATTAGTCTCACTCTATGAACTTACCTAAGTTCGACGAAATTTCTGTGGATTCTGGTCGTGAAGTTACTACTGTGGATTGACTGCGAATCAATTGAGTTTCTTGGGAATCTTTTCATGCTGTCTTCTGTGTCGCACAGGATTCGTTCACTAGATGTTTTAAATCCAATGCTCCGGAGCCGTGGAATTGGAACATCTACTTGTTTCCGCTATGGGTGATGGGTGTGGCTGTGCGGTATCTCATACTATTTCCTATCAGGTCTGATTCTTGGAAGCACCATTGGTAAATGTTGACTGTTTCAGAGTTGTGAATCAATTGTAATTGCATGCCGTAAAAAGTAAGAAGTTACTTTCTCTTCCAATTTTATTTATTTTAATTTAATTTACTTCATAACAACAAAAGAAAAAAGAAAAAAAAAGAAAAAAAGAGAAGGGGAGCTTTACCTAAAATACTTCTATTTATTAAGTATCGATGAAGCCTCAATCTCCGTAATTCTGTTTGTTTTGTGCGACTACAGCTTTGTGGAAGCTTGTGAAAGTGAGAGTGGTTGGTATGAACAGAGTGATTCTTCTCGCCCTTGGATGGATTATATTCCTAAGTTTATTCTTTCCTTTACACTTCGCGTTGAAAAATCACGACCAACTTAGGCGTCAAATTGAGGTCAGTTAAGATCATTCATTTGTCTGACTCAAACAGTACAACATCTGATGCAGCTGATTAATAACCTTGCCCAAACGACCCAAGCTTAAGTGAAGCACATTCTGATGCTCCTCATTTTATGAACTGTGGACAGAGAGGCTTGGTGGAGTTTATGTGCAGTGTATTTGTGGCCTCGTGGACGGGCGTTGTCAAATATCATGGGCCACGGCCAAGTAGACGTACCAAGCAGGTACGCAATGCTTGCCTAACCTTATGTCTGTTTTACACTGTAGTTACCCGTAATTCAAACCATTCATATCTGAAAATTCTTCATGCTCAAGATTCATTGTGAAGAATACGACCTCTTTTAACTAGGAGAATATTTTATAAGATGAATTAACATCATTATGAGAGTAACAATATGTGCATAATCTAATATACAAGATGCTTTAGAGAATGCTACGAAACATTTTATCATATTCGACAGGGCTGGCTGGTTTTCAAGTCGTTAGACTCCCGATAATATCATGCTTGAGGTTGAAGGTTAGTATAGTTTTGAACGATGCTGAAGAATTTCCTTGCGGGCGAATCCACACAATCAATCTGCGAGCCAGAGAATATTGTAAGGGGTTTGAATGGTTTTATTACTCTTATTTAAGTGTAACAAATCAACCATTCGATTAAAGATTTAGGTTGATACGATTTATGTCAACCCTGCATACTTGGAAAAGTTTTGTAAGCAGTGTGCTTGTTTCAAAATTTTGCAGGTTTTTGTGGCAAATCACACATCGATGATTGATTTTGTTATATTGGAGCAGATGACCGGTTTTTCTGCGATTATGCAGAAGCACCCTGGATGGGTTGGTAAATTATCTCTTTCCTACCTTGTCCCCCCCCCCTTTGTTTTTGTTTTTTTTTTGTTTTGTTTTTTTTGTTTTTTTGTTTTTTTTTGTTTTTTTTTGTTTTGTTTTGTTTTGTTTTTTTTTTCATATGGTTATTGGAGTGAAGATCTACTCGCTCGTGTCTTGGAGTAAACATTTGCTCTCAAATAGTGAAGTTACATAGAAATTATCCCGAAAATTTCTTGCAGGTTTTTTGCAAACTACCGTGCTTGAAAGTCTCGGCTGCATATGGTTCAATAGGACAGAGGCCAATGACCGGCATGCTGTTGCACAGAAGTACGTTTCACGGCTACTTAATATTTCAACTTTTTTTTTAATTTGATCATGGTCATGTCGTGGTAGTTGTGTTAAGTTGAGATTGGATGGGAGTGGTTAAAAAAACCCATCTGAGCTGTGCTGGTGCTGTTGCTGTCACTTCCAGATTGAAAAATCATGTTAACGACCCAGATGCAAATCCCCTTCTGATTTTTCCGGAAGGCACATGTGTCAACAATGAGTACACTGTTATGTTTAAGAAGGTAAGGTATACTTACGAAATCAGGTTTTCACTTTGACTTTTTGTTACTATGCATCCTGAAGTTTTTTTGGCAGTTAAGTTTTTTTCCTTCACGTACATAGCCACATGGAATTTCCGAATCGATCCAGGAAGTTCGTTGGAAATGTTGAGTAGAGAAATGACCTGATCCTAGCTGTTCTTAATTTCCAGGGTGCATTTGAGCTTGACTGCGTGGTGTGCCCAATCGCTATCAAGTACAATAAGATCTTTGTGGATGCCTTCTGGAACAGCAAGAAGTAAGACCCGTGACGATTGTTTTATCAAAAACAATTCTCCACGCTCTACTCACTTACAACATTACTCGGCAATTAGCTTCTATTGTGATAACGGACTATATTGCTTTTTCTTTGATACTTACGATTACTTACGATCCTTTTTTGTTCCTCCATTGTAAAATTCATACAAATCTATGGCTGGCACAGGCAGTCGTTCACAATGCATCTGGTTCGGTTAATGACCTCTTGGGCAGTGGTGTGTGACGTCTGGTACCTGGAACCCCAGACTATAAAAAAGGGCGAAACCCCTATTGAATTCTCTGAAAGGTATGTGTGGATCGTTGTGCGTTTATTCTAGTGGTTTTCTACATAATGAATCGAGAAATACTGAAGTTACAAAAGTTAAGCGTGGTTAGCAATGAGCAACAACTCTTTCGGTATTAACCATGGCATGACCATGAATTCTCTTTCTAAATCCAGTTATAATGAGAGCGTGTGATTCCCTCTTATCTCTTCTAACTGGCAGAGTGCGGGACTTGATTTGTACGAGAGCGGGAATTAAAAAAGTTCCGTGGGATGGTTATCTCAAGTATCATAGGCCAAGCCCTAAGTTAACTGAGAAGAAGTACTACCGTCTTTTCAACCATACCTCTTTTCCATGCAATGCTTGAGTTAGTAGCAAACATCCCTGCTGAGTTGACGTTTTATCCTACTGCCTGTAGAGCTTGCAAGAGGGCGCTTTTAGTTCGAATCATTTCATGATGCACCTTAACCATCTTCGTTTACTTTCTCTTTTGCAGACAGCAGAATTTTTCCGAAGCTGTAATTCGACGGTTGAATGCAACAGCTCAAAATCAGTAAAATATAGTGAAAATCTTTTTCATCAAATTCCCACTTTAGTGAGTATTATCTTTAGAATTATGTTATTGACTTGTTAAAAGTCAAGCTACGTACACAATGGGATTTGGAAAATAAGTACTCCTATGTTTCTGTATTAGTGTTGTAGAGGATCCAGGCGTACCTGGTGTCAACTTTGATGTCAGGTTCATCAATTATGCTTTGCAGCCTGAGACAAAAGCGTCTAATGAGTGTACTTTGTAATTGCGTTTGTGAAACGAGATCCGGTTGGCGATGTTTATTTTCCACTTTGTCAAAACTTCTCAATGGATCTTTTCGTGGAGAATGTTTAGGGCAAGATGTGTGCTTTGATTGGTACGACATTGCAACTCTGCATGTGGAATATGCAAGCGACCTTACTACAAACAATGGCAGGGCTACATAAGATGCCAAAGCTTCATTTAGAAAGCTCTATATATACAAGGATGCTTTCAGTTCTTCAGTTCCTAAGTATGACATCTACGCCTGTTAACAGAGCCTATAAACAGAGCTTTAGAATTTGTAAGCCCTATTAACCTCTTTGAACTAAAGCTAATGAAACTCAACCTCTTTGAACTAAAGCTAATGAAACTTACAGGTGCAGCCAGTTGCACTGATCGGTGAAACTCCTCCAAAGTTGCACTCAATTCAAGATACAGGAGCTACACACGGATCAACTTTCATGCTTCCTTGATTGTAGAGAAGAAAACGTGAAGCTTTGCAGCGATAATGGAGCAACTGGAGAACTAGTCCAAGGCCTCTGGACATGGCTGGATGTTGCAACCGTGACGGCAGGCAAGGGTTGTGCAGTAAGGAGAGGATTGCCGTGAGCATTACTAACAAATGGCATGGGCATGGGCAAAGATTGAGGTGGAGGCAAGACTAACTTTGACTGAGACGAAGATGAAGAGGTATTGAGGGATACAGAGTTGAGAGGCTTAGGAAACAAAGTCCTGCCGCGTTCCTTGGCACGAGCGGACACCCAATCGATCTTTTCCTGGCGAGAAAGCTGAGAAGAAATCTCCGGAAGGAAGCTGGGGTAGTCATTCCTGAAATTGAAAGCTCCTTTCTTGCCGTAATAGTATGCAGCCACATCACGAACTAGCGCGGCTTCTTCACATGTGCGGTACTCGCCAAGGGGTAGATCGTACCGTGTCTTGGGCACTCGCACGCGAGGAATGAATCTGATGCCGTAAGGGTATTGCCGCCAGCGCACTCCTATGAAGCCTTTGTTCGGCGCGTCCTCAGCACGTACTGTGGTAACACCCGACGTAGATGGCGCTAGCTCGGAGGTCGATTTTCTCTTCTGGCCGCGTTTGAGAGCCGGAACTGAGCGACCGGAAGCAGGACCTGAGCAGGCGGGAGCCGGAACTGAGCGGGCGGGAAGTGGAGGCTGGCGCTCCATCAGTGCCTGTCGACGTAAAACAGAAATAAAAAAAACCGCTAAATTGGTCGAATGAATCTTTGGCTCAGTGACGACAATGCCGACAGGTAGTTTTCCACTGAACCCTAATCCTCAATCAATTAATTGCAAGACACGAAATCCCCTATTACAACAATATCCTGGAGATAGGAATTCTATTGTGTGTGCGATGAGGCCGTGTTCTACGCGACTTGTTGGCGACTGAAAGACGGCATAAAATTGCGTTGTGGGTGATTTCCAGGTGATCAATCAAACCCTTGAACATAAAGAAACGAAGTTATGGCGAACAGGAGAATCTACATTGACCTAGAGTCAAAGAACTAGTTTCTGGGATTGAAAAACCTTACGAGGTTTCGTAGCTCGAGCTGACGCCGCATTTTCCTCTCCCCTGCGTCCACTTGCAGTTCTCTAATATTTCAATCCTCGAGTTGATTCGAGAAGGAAGCCCACGATGAATCACTGTAAGAAGTCTCAGCTTAAGGTTTCATTGGCGACAACCTAAAGGTGGTAACTATAACTGCGGACATACGTCACTCGAGAGTTCGTGGGTACATTTAGATTCCTAGGTATAATTGAGCTTCGCAAATATTTTCGATACGACACTCGAGCAATTTAGAATTACTAAATTTAACCATACTAGCCCACATGGAATTCGACTAAAACCATGTCAAGAGGTCGTTTGATTTCGCCTTGACACACTGCCGAACTTTAGGTCGGGATTTCTCAATGAGAGCTAGCTGATGCAAAAAACAAAACCCTCCTATCTCTGTGATAGTTCAGACGAGCACACTAGTCTATATTTGCAAATAATATTGGAGTTAGATCTCAGTGAATCTTGCGACCAGGCAACAACGTATCACACATGTCTGAAGTATGCAGAGATTATCTGTCGTACGAGACTGTCGGGATTGATGTTTTGCTTCGCTTGCAAGAAATAATGGTCGCTGCCAGCAATTTAGGATAATGAGAAAAACACTAGTGACTCAGAAAACAAGTGATACATTAGTGCCACGAAACATTTTTTTTCTTGTGAATTTCAATACTATACAATATATGGAAAATATTCTCGAAATTTTATGAAGTCCAGTTCCTAACGTAACATCTACTGCTCCTGATTGGCACCAGCAAGAAGATACAAGGGTAAAACGCCTAGTTCAGAAGCAGCATCCTCCGGAGAGAGTTTGGCGTCCAGGTCATCTCCTACTCTTCTTAACTCTTTTCTGAGGACCTGTTGGTTCTTCCTCTGTAGGCCCCTCCACCGACTTGCCGGCGTTTCCGGCCTTCTTCATCACTCTTTGCTGCGCAGCCAGAAATTCCTCCTCAGAGGGCTCCTCAATAGCTTTGCTGGGCTTGCCACACTTCTCCCCTCTTCCTTTCTTTCCGTATTTCGCTTCTAAAGCTGCAGCAAGAGAATCCATTTGCTTCTGCCCACGATGATTGATCAAAGCAGCAAGCTCTGAGGTCGAGTCGCCGTTTTTCTTCTTTTTTCTACAATCAACAATACTAATAATCAATCACCAAAACGATTGATTCACAGAACCTATTTGTTCATGCTCGGCCATAACAAAAACTGGAAGGAGAGTGACTTATGACATTTTAAGTTCGTAAAGAGCCTTACGTCGAGGGACCGAGAGGATTCGGATGTCGTGGAGTCTTCGCAACCTCCGCAGCCCACTTCCGATACGCTTTGAACTCCTTCAGCTCACCAGACGATACAGCGGCATCAATGATGTCCATGAACCGGTGAGAATCAACCTGCGGATCGGAACACATCATCTGATTGAACACTCTGCACAACCCCGGGCATTCAAGTCACAATCAATACGCCTAGAGTGTTGTAGAGTTTGCCAAATTGTGTAGAGAAACATGTAACTCTTCAAAACTGAACAATAGTTTTTACACTTCGGCAAATCATGTGAACATAGAATTGAATTTCTAGCAATCAATCAGACAATCACAGACATTTCCAAAAGAAAGCAGGAGCACCATACTTTCTGAAGTCACCCTTGCACTTGGAGTAAAGAGCAATCAAGTCCTTCTCCTCCTCTTTCGAACCTCGATAGGATGCTGAGAAGGAGTCAATGTCTTCCTCCGTTACCTACAGAGGAAAACCACACACATGTCACAAAAAACAAACAGAGCAGACTCATGAACAACGATTGGGGATCAGAAACCTGGGCTCAGAAGCGGACCTGCTTGAACAAAGTCCTGAGAAACTTGTACAAGCTCTTGACCGCGTCGCCGTCCATGTCCGCAGCGTCCAACGATCCCGTCTGGTCATATAATTCTCGCTTCTCGGGATCGCTCAAGATGGCCATCACACGCTGCAGCTGCTGGAACTTCTCCTTGGCATCCTGCAATCACCCAGCACCTCCGCATCTTCAAAAACCAATATTAGGGCATCGTTCCAAAAACTGAGAAATCGCGACAAATTCTATAAAACCCACCTCATCGTCGGGGTTCTTGTCAGGATGCAAACGCAGCGCGCTCTTGTGGTATGCCCTGCGAATCTCGTTGTGGGTGGCATTGGGGCTCACACCGAGCACCTCGTACAAACTGCGGCTCTCCGACGGCTGGGGCTCCTTCTTCGCCGCCATGTCGTCCTCGTCTTCGTCGCGAACTCTCTTCTTCCGGTCCATTCGCACTCAGCAACACCTCTCTAACGCCAACGAGCACAGATATGAACAGCAACAACAACAACAATGCTCCCTTGAAAAATCAAGCCTCGACAAATCCTTTGAATTGTTGCTGCAACGGGCTTGGCCACCGCGACCTCTGGTTACCCGCCATTTCACAGCCTTCGCACCAAATGGATGTGGGTGGTGAATGAGTGATGAATGGATGAAGTATGGTTCCTAATATTTCTTTTGTATAAGAAAATCTTTTGATGCCAGTATTTGTTAGACTTAGAAAGAAATTTGTAAGTTTATGTGGTTTTAATTGGGAAATAATAATTTGGAAAATTATGCAATTAAAATTTATGAAAAAAATTAATTTAATTTTAAAAAATCATCCTACACTAGGAAGACTTGAATTAGAGATCTAAAATAAAATAAAATAAAATAATCTTTAAAATCTTTAAAATAATTTTAATTTAATTTATTTCCATTTTGGTTATAAGTTCAATATATTTGATAATTTCTTGTATTTTTAAGATTTTAAATAAACTAATAAACTTTATGAGAGTAATAGGAAGATTTAAAATATTTGCTCTTATAAAAAAAATTTGATTTCAAAAGTAGTAATGTACAATTTAAATTGACTTCTGTATAATAAACTAAGAAAATTTGTAAATAAATTGACATAGTCTCAATTTGCTTCTTTGTAGAAGCTTCTTAAAACATTTAAGGTTCAAAAGATGATTGCTTATATTTTAAGATATTTTATTATTTATGCTTTAGATTATTAATTGTTAATTTTTTTCTTATTACTAAATGACATATCTACAATCATTTGTAGATCCAATTGTATTAAAATTATTCTATGATAATCTAAATAATAAATATTATTAGCATAACTTATTTCTACTTGCTTTTGGTCAATTTATTTATTTAAATTAATTTAATTAATATAATTATCTATAATAAAATTTCTTATAAATATAAAAATAAATTATTTAGAATATATACACTTTTTTATGAGATGATTCTCTCAATCAAGTAGATCTAGTTAAGACCTCACATGATGTTTTTCACTTGGTTTATTAAATAAAATGGATTGATTGAATTTTCATTACAAATTAATAGAATATAATATCAACAACTACATTGCCCTTTGGAAATAAGTATTTAGATACCAAAAAATTATTAAAAGAAAAGAAAATAAGGATTATAACATAATTATATATAAAAAAATACTTGAGTATAAAAATGGTTGAAGCATTGCAATTTGATAGAAGAATTATTGCAAAAGATTAGTTTTAATGTTGTTTTGAAAAAATATTTAAATTATAAAACTATTTAGTGCTTAGCATTGGATTTTAGATTGGACTTATTATCTTTGGTCTAAGTTGAATAGTTTTATAGAAAGCCAAACAAAGAATTAAAACTCTTGTTTACATGATTTTTTACTTTACTTCCTACAAAAATCTATATAAGCAAAACTAAACAAAAGTACCTATATTATTTAATAGATTCCAAAAGATATATATATAGACCATATTAAATATAGACCAACTAAATCATTAGATTTTTTTAATCCATATTTTATTCAATTTTTTTAAAGTTTTTTTAAAGTTTTTTTAAAGTTTTTTTTTTTTTTTTTTTTTGAGAATTCATCTACAAATTTGAAAATTATTATATTTTTAAACTTAAATATTTATGAAAATCATAATAATGTAAATTTTACCTAAGTATATATCTTGGCTTTTAAAAAATTAAAAACAACTAGAATTTAATTGTAGAAAGAGTCCTTAATATATGAGATGGCAACAAACACTACAAATGTATAAAAAGAAATAATTTTAAATTCTTTCTGACTATAAAAAAAATCAAATCACCTTAAGAAAATTTCTTTTAATCCTGTTATTTTATAATTGGACCAAGTACATTTTTTATAACTCTAACATCTTTATTTTATTTTTATATTAGGTTTATTTATTATTCATCAATATTAAAATAAAAAACTATCTTATAGTTTATATAAAAATTTCAAAATTAATTTTTGAAATTATAGAATTTACTTTTTTATACATCTAATAACAAGTTATAATAAAATTTTAGCTATTAAACTAATATATTTTTGTTAAGATTGAGAGGCTATTTGGAAGAGATTTTTATTTATTTTTATATCATGGTTGAATTGTGTGTTTATATGTATTTATATATATATATATATATATATATAATTTTTATTTGGATACTTTTATTATATTAAACTTAAATGTACAAGTGATTAATTTCTTATGATACAATTTTTTGCAATTACAGAATTTTTATTTTTGGTATGGTAATTTGATAATTTTTTCAGGTCTATAATGTATCTAAATATTGTAAGATTTAATAATAATAATTTTTTTTTAAAAACTTAGGTTTTATTATTAAAATAATATCATATTTATCCCTAAAATATGTTGAAATATCAAGAATACTCCTATATTCTTGATAATAATAAATCTATCCCTCACTTTTTTGAGAATATCAAATCTACTCTTCAACCTAATAAGTTATCACAACTTTTCTTTTTTAAATACAACTAAGGCCCAACCTGCTGGCCTCTGAGAAATCAGCAGGCCCGTGGTACATTACTGCGCAGCCACTTTTGGCAAATGGATGAATTCACTTAGCAGCAGTCAAACCTAGTCGCCATTGGGTCTGGTCTTCTCATTGCCCAATTGATTTCTCTACGTAGAATTACACAACCATGACTACGTTTTGTGTTGGAGGGTACGAGATTAGTATAAGCTGCATCAAGTCGAGCAGCATAGAGCAGGGAAGGTTTGCCTTGTCGAGCAAGAGGGAAGCCTAGAAAATACTTTCTATAGCGACAGAGAGTAGAGTACTGGGATGAATACATAAATCCTTGATCCCAGATGTGCTGCGTTGCTTGGCGGTGTAGAAGCGATCGTTGAGAGCATAACCAAAGCTCTTACTCGCATCTAGTTGCAGGTATTGCATGTCTTCAGCGCCATGGCTGTGCACTTGTCATCTATTTGCTTGTGACTGAGGATGCAAGACAGACTGCAGTGATGTTTGATTGTGTTCATATTCTTGAGTATATTTGTACATGCTAGGTAGCCCGACCTTGTTCTCAATTAATGCATCTATATTGTGGATACGCCTGTGTCGTGTTGTTTTTAGTCTAGCCAAGGAACAATTGTTGACAATCATGATTTGAATACTTGCACTATATCCAAACGATGACAATTCTTTTTAACATGTAACTGCTTCTTGTTAATGAATTATGGAAAAATGGACGAGCTAGAGGCTCAGCTGATCAATCCAAAGCTATTCTATAGTCTTTCAAACAATTGGTCGACATTTATGAACCAACTTCCTTACTCAATTATATTTTGAGCAATTACTAGTATTTTTTTGGATATTGTTAGAAATAAACTAAGAGAAAGATTTACCTATGGTAGTTATTTAATCAAGTCATTTGCATTATTTTTATTTTTTTTTAAAATAGACATTTTGTATTCAAGCAATACTTGAAGATTTGGATGTTTGGAGTAGAATGGAATCAAATACTTCTTAATAAAAAATAACAATCTACAAGCAGATTTCACCACACACCTAAATAAGTTCAACTTTGAAAAAAGATAAAGTAAATGATCTAAAACATATATTTGTTATTGTAATTGCAAACAATACTGATCCTTAGGTACTAGACTTTAGAGCTAGTATCTATGTTATAGGAAATATAGACTCTCTTGGTTGTATCAATAATAAGTCACAAAACAAAGTCAATAAAATAATTGATGGTACATTCTATCCTATCTAAGATGAAGAAAAATAAACATCTAAATTCTTTTGGAAGAAATAAGGTCTATAGCTAATATTCTTATGATCCAAATTTCAAAATTAATCTCATCTTTATAGGAAAACTAATAATATTAGACTATAAGTAATATTTAATGAATAAAAATATATTATCATTACAAAAGATAAGTTAGCTAATACAATAGCTATAAAACTTAGAAATTCTTGATAAAGACTTTATATAATCAAAATTAATCCATACTACTTAGCTAATTCTACCACAACTCTTGTTATTGAAAAAATAGAATATTAGCATAAAAAATTACAATACTTATATTATTTTAGTCTAAACCAACTTTCTAACAATAATTTAGCCTATAAAATTTCTTTTCTATTTTTAATATTTCACTCTTATAGTTCTTATAAAATAGACAAATTTTATAGGACCAATTTTTCTAAATAAACTAATATTATGTCTATACAAATCTTACAATTTATACAAAGTGATTTCTACAATCTTATTAAGTCCATTTTTTTAGACGAATCTAACTATATTCTAATGTTTTCTTATGATTTTTCTAGGTTCACTAGAGTCTATTTCTTATAATCAAAGTCAAACATCTTTATTACATTTAAATACTTCAAGGTAGAAATTAAGACATCAATGACTAAAATATAAGATTTGAAAATAGATCACGGTAGAAAGTTCTTATCTTTAGAATTCATTAAATATTGCAAGAACATAATATCAAGCTTCAATTTATGACAAAAAATATTCCATTTCAAAATGGAGTGGTACATCAAAAGAATCAAATAATTTTTGATCAAGCAAGCAATATAAAAATCAATACCAAAATACTAGCAAATACCTAATTAAAAGTACTCAATCCTACTAATTTTCTTGTTAATTTTTTTCCTACCAAAGAAAATACAAAGAATAAGTTTTCCTACCAAAGAAAAATTTGGAACATATTCTTAGATTTTAAACATATTCAATTAAACATGATAGTTTTTCAAGACATAGAAATTTTATTCTTCAAATTTTTAGTTTTTATTGATATCACACTTAGAAGTAAGATAAAAAAAGAAATTCTATCTAATATGGCTCATTTTCAATTATACATAGATACATCCTACTCAAAATCAGCTGCAAATAATTTTTCAACTTCACTTGAACAACTGGCTTCCATCACACAACCATTAGAATATTTAAGACCAACAAATCAGATAGTAATATGTTTTGGTTGTATTGTCAATAAATCCATGAGATTTATAGACTGTTGAAACAAACTTAGAACTAATAGACTATTGAGAGACAATCAAGAATCCAATATAGAAATAATC